TGTTTACAAAGTCTTACCAATTTTATAGAGTTCCCTTTGCCCATTATAAGGTTAGTTATGAAAACCAATGATAACGGCATGTGGCAGTTTCCAGCACACATCATGGACTGTTTAATTGAGTACAATGCCTATTAATTCTCTATTTTGAGTCCATTACCATGCCAGACATAGTAGGACGGACCCATGAAGTTCTCGCTTTCAGAGAGTCTACTTTCTTATTAATCATTTGTTTATCAGTCAAGTATTTTTAAGTACTTATTATGTGCCGAGCACCCTGACAAGTGCTGGGTATGTTGCACTAAAAAGGGCAAACATGATCGTGGCTTCCAGGCATTTACACTCCAGTAAAGGTGAGAGAAGAAGCAATGACAACACAGTCTATGTCTAAGGCAGAGATAGCTTTAATCATGTGACTGGCCTTGCCAGGGTCACAGGGGCACATAGGAAAGGCATACTGGTGGGCAGAGAGGCACTCCGATAGTTGAGCAGTGGATGGTTTTTGAATGTCATTTAGGAACCAGGCACTGAAATTTACAAGCTGACACCTGAATGGTAAGAATTTTGCAGATAAGAAAGGAGAGGTAGTAGAGTAGAATGTTGCAGGCAGAAGGAAAAGTTTATAAGAACTGAGTAGTGTTGCTAGTGGTGCAGATGAGACCGGAATAGAGAGGAGACACCAACTTCGAAGGGACTTGGAGTCCACATTACAGAGTTTGGACTCTATTTTGAGAATAGTGACAAGTCTTGCAATGGTTCTAAGCCAGGATGACCCCAATATTTTTATGTAAAGGATTATTTTGACTGTTGTGTTGAGACTGGGCTAGGGAGGAGCATGACTGGAGGCACTGAGGTCTGTTCAGAGGCCATTGTAATAAAGCAGATCAAAGATGATGGCGATCTCAACTAGGGTGGTGGCAATGGCTAGAACTGTATGTATTTGAGAGTTATCAAGGAGGAGGGATCTCAGAACTTGTTGAGAGACGGAGCAATGACAAGTTAGATAGGCTAGGAAAGAAAGAGGGAGACATTCTCAACTAGCTACCTGAAAGGTGATGCAATGTACTAAGACAGAAACCCCAGAAGGAGGAGTAGGAGAGGGAAGCCTCAGAATTCAGTTTGGGATCTGTTGAGTTTCACATGCCCAGGAGAGAGCTCCATGATGGAAATATAGATACAGGATTTATCAACATGTCGATCAGATAATCTTCCACCTGGTAATAATGGAGGGAAGGGTTCTAGGATCCCTTTGGGTAACAGAGAATCTCTGAATCCCCTAAAATGTTTTCAAATGTTTAAGCTTATTTTGCATATGCTTATTATTTCAGGGTGGGGGAAGATTATGGAAGTTTGCTTTAGAATGCAAGTTTGCTATAACTCAAAGGCATTAAGGAACACAGAGGAAATTGAAGGGACAACCTGTATTAAGAGTGTCCAAAGGCGGCACCTGGGTAGCTCAGTCAGTTATGCATCTGTTTTCGCTCAGGTCATGTTCCCAGGGTCCTGGGATCAAGCCCCACATCGGGCTCCCTGCTCAGCGGGGAGTCTGCTTCTCCCTCTCCCTCTGCCCCCACCCACAGCTTGTGTTCTCTCTCTCTCTTTCACTCTCTCTCTCTCTCTCTCTCAAATAAATAAATAAAATCTTTAAAACAACAACAACAAAAAGAGTGTCCAAAGAGAGTCACTTAGGCTGATGGTGCTGGGCCAGGACCCCAAGAAGAGCGCATAAAGAGAACACAAAGAAGAGGGTTCTGAAAATGAGCTTGAGAATCAGCAAGGACAAAGCGTCAGCGGAAATGGAGTGGTCCACAGATTCAAATACCCCTGGGAGGTTAAATAAGGCAAAGAAAAGTATCCATTGGATTTTCAACAAAGAGGTCATGGATGATCTTGGCAAGAGAGGCCATGGTTGGTGAGAAAGAAAAAGTGAATGGGAGATGAAAAATGGAAAATGCAGGTTTAGGAAACTCAAGAAGGGAGAGGAGAGTGTTAAAGAGGTAGCTGGAAAAGAAGACCAGGGTACAAGGTGGGTATTTCTCCCCTTAGGATGGGACAGATTTATGCAATGAGTCAACATTTTAAAAGCTTAAAGAGCCTTTAAGTACAAACCAACGAACCCAAATACACAGAAGCATTTAAGGAAATCAGAAGATCGAGCTCAGGGTGTCTACAGTGAGCAGGATAGATAACAGGGAAGAGTGAACTGAGTTGAGCCTTGAATGATTATCTTTTGGACAGGTGAGGATGAACCGTTAATGAGAAGAAATCTGAGAGAAGTAAGACTAAACAGTCACCTATTCTTCTTTCACCTTCTATTGTTATTCAAAGAATATTTTCTCAACAAATATAAAGTCTTTAAAATGGAAATTGCCTGTAACTCAGAAAGTGACTACAAGTATGACAGTATTAACAGTTAAAAGATATTTAATCCAATTTACAATTACTATTTGTATTCTTGGTCTTCCCATTTGGGGTCATATTGTTCATTTCCTCAGTTGGAATTTTTAACACCAGATAGGGTGCTAAATCAGTATAGGTTGGTGCTTCTGTCACCTAGGTTTCTAACATCTTCCGTATATAAAAACACACCCATAAATAAAGGCGCTAATGTTGGAACGGGAAAGATCCTTTCATAAGCAACTTAACACAAGTGACTCCCTGCATAGAATAAACTGTTATGAGATCTAGCTCATGATTAAACACTGTCTATTTCACTTAACTGAATTATTTTTCTCTTAACTTTTTAGAAGACTGTACACATTAATTTTAAAGGTTCTGTTTATGTATCTAAATTGAATATGTATTGTCTAAATAGTAGCCTTTCAGCTTATTACAATTTATAACTATACAGAGGGCAGAGTATTACAAATTATAGCAGACCCCTGATGAAGGAGAAGTGTGATATTATCCAGGGAGGTTTGAGGGGGGGTGGGGAGTGGGCATTAATTTAGGGGCTACACCTTTTAGTTAGAAGAGAGCCCAACAGCTCTCAGTAATAGTCTTGGCCATTCCTTCACTTCCTTGCCATAAGTATGGGTCAGTGTTCCAAACAGATCATTCATGTACAAGACAGAAACTTGGATGTTGCTATACAGACCTTCTAGAAACCAACATCAGTTCTTAAAGAATCTTATTTTCCTACCTAAGAAAGACTACTGTTACTTTTTCCAATTCATGACATTGCCCACAAAGGAAAGCAAATGTAAAACACTACAAACTTTCCTTGTCTTTATGAAATTTGGCTTTCTATATTTTTGTCCTAGTTCTGGAAGAGGCCAGACCAGTTTAAAAATGCACACACATCTACACACACACACATCTACACACACACTTACACACACACACCTACACACACACATCTACACACACCCACACACACGTACACACACAGCTACACACACACACCTACACACACCTACACACACACACATCCACACACATCTACAGACACATCCACACACGTCTACACACAGACGTCTATACACACACATCTACACACACACACCTACACACACATCTACACACACACCTACACACACATCTACACACATCTACGCACACACCTACACACACATCTACACACACATACACACATCTACGCACACACCTACACACACACCTACACACACGTCTACACACACATCTACACACACACATCTACACACACACCTACACAAACACATCTACATACACACCTACACACACCTACACACACATCTACACACACACATCTACACACATCTACATACACACATCTACACACACACATCTACACACACACCTACACACACACCTACACAAACACATCTACATATACACCTACACACACCTACACACACACCTACACACACACCTACACACATCTACACACACACACATCTACACACACATCTACGCGCGCGCACACACACACCTACACACACACACACACACACACACAGGTCTGAGAGGTCTTGATCCTTTATCCCCTGTCTCGGGTGCCCTAGTTCTCCCCTTTGTGTGGACACATTGCTTCCTGGACACACTGTTCTGGCCTCTGGTCATGGTCATCCTGTCAACCTAGGTTTTACTTTCCCAGAGGATGTGGCCTGTGGGCTTGGGATGTTACAATTTAGAACCTGCTACCTCAACAAATATCCAGTTGGCCTTTGCAATTTTACAGTGCAAGACTTTGGATAGGGGAATGTATTTTTGTGGAAATTGCATATTCCGTTGTTGCCTCTCATATATCACAGCTCTCTGCACAAGCACCCAAGGCAAGGCATTTGCTAATGACCTCAAACCCCTGCCACCTATAGTCTTTTTTATTTTCTAGGCTTCTAAGCATCTTTTATCTGGGTCATTTGGACCATTTCTGAGCGACCTCTGTAATTACCTTATTTGCCGTGACTGGGAAATCTAAGGACTACTCAGATTGATTAGAGGTCTTGGTGGGAAAAACTTTTGATCTGGGGTAATGTCATTTTAGAGCCCAGAATGTGGGCACTATGGTTATGATCTCTGTGGGTCTATAAAATAAGCCTGAATAGCAAATCATCTTCATGGTTGTCTTTCCTTTTCAACAAGTAAGAATTGTCTTTCTGGTTTAAGGGAAAACAGAAGATAACATTGCTCTTCAAACCCAGATGAAATTGTCATAGATTTGCTAATATTGCAAGAAAACTGCTCACTGGTGGCAATATTTTGGACACCTCTTGGGAAACCCTTGATTTTGTAGCATAGTTGTCTTACGGGACCTTCAGGCCCCCACTAAACATAATGACTGGTATTAGGATTCCTCAAAGTGTGGTATGAGACAGACTGTATCCTCACCCCACCCTTTCCCCCTTGTTGAAAAGATTCTGAGGGTAGGGCCTACAGATCTACATTTTGCCCAGAGCCTCTATAGAGCTCAAACACTGCAGGGTGTATGAGCTACCACCCCAGGAGATAGATGGGTAAAGCCTCCGTGATCTCTAAGACCAACTTGACTTACAATGAACTCTTGTCTCTCCTCTGCTTAGGTGCAAATGTAATCTCCACGCCACTGTGTGTGTGTATGACAACAGCAAACTGACCTGTGAATGTGAGCACAACACTACAGGTCCAGACTGTGGGAAATGCAAGAAGAATTATCAGGGCCGACCTTGGAGTCCAGGCTCGTATCTCCCCATCCCTAAAGGCACTGCAAATACCTGTGAGTAACTTTGCTCTCTAACACTGTATTCTGTGCAAGATGAGCTGATAGTTCCTCTCAATTTCACTTGCAATTGTGCTTTTACTCTTACGGTTATCCTGCTCCTCTTCAAAATGCAACTAAAGCTTTAGTTTCTATTTCACCACTTGTAAGCACATTTTCACACTCGGATCATCTGTTAAATTCAGTCTTCCAACATTCACATCAAATGTGTTGGGAAATGATGGAAATCAGGAGAAATTTTTTTCTAAGTGGATGAAACAGGAGATGTTTGTTTTCCTCCCCCAAATTAATTTCCTATTAAAATAACAACAGCCTTCAAAACTCCCAACGGGAACTTAATTTTAGCCATAAGCAACTCGAGAAATTCTCTAAATGTTTCTAATCCCATTTCCCTTACTGGGTAACTTGAGGGATGCTTTGTCCAGAAGATGCTTCCCTGTCTGATTTTGACTATGGCTTAACTCTGCCCGGTGAAGTAATTGGCTTTTTCCAAATGCCAGCAGCTGAGGTCATGCCTGGCATGGATCCTGTCAGTAGAAGCCACCTTCTGATACAGAGCGTGACTGCAGGCCTGCAGGTATTACATTAAGAAAAGGAATGTCCGAGTTCAGTGAAAAGAGCACAGGCCTTATTAGTACTTCCAGGAACCATGAGAGATGCTCCATTACCATTCATGTATGCCCCACTAAAATCCCTGAAGATCCAGAGGAAAACATGCTCTGACATGCTCAGGGAGAGACATGGTTATTTCCAGAATAAACAGCCCAATTCCACGGATGGACCCATTAGCCACTTGCAAAAGCCCCAGGTTTGCCCTCTGTCAAAAGTAGAGGAGGGGTGAGGTTGAGAATATACCCATGAAGTGAGAAGTAACAGAAATAGCAGGACAGTGAGCAGTGGGAGAATGAGGGCTCGAAAAGCCACTGGCTCTATGCGAGGCTAAGAATGTTATCAGGTTCTTCAAAGCAGCAGCTGTGAGAAGACAAAAGCTAAAAACTAATATCACAGGATCCAGGACCTTATCAAGTTAAATGTAAGAGTAATGGAGTGAATAACAAGTCATGAAGTATGGGGGCATGAAATTATGATAAAATTTCTATGAAGCAGAAAAAAATACTCTTCAAAAGATAAAAAAAAAAAAAACCATCTCTATTTGTAAGGGTATTCAGTTTCTTTCTGTGTTAAAGAAAAAAACGGACAGTCTAGCTCCTAAAATTAATACATAAAGCTCTGTTGAGCAGAAATGTTGATTTTTCAAGGCAATTTTATTAACAGAGACTCTTTTGGCTGTCTTCAATTGTTCAGGGCCATAGACCCATGAATTCAGGAGGAATCATGAGGTTATTTGTTGGTGAACCCCTCTGGCTGGCTACCAAGAATCCCTATCACCACACTTGTCATATTTACTTTAAAGGTTTCCCTAAGAGAAAGTGGCTCCAATTTCATTTTCAGTGTCTGCTGCTTCTTTAGTGGGACAGGACGGAACCGAGGAAGGTTCACAAACACTTGCTAGCATTCTGGCTCAACCTCAGGGCTGGCCAACTTGTCAAGGCGACCAGAAAGCCAGGTGGGCTGAACTGCGGCCGCATTGGCTTCTAGTCTCACACGACTGTTCTTCTACCTATAACTGAGCTTCAAAGTCTTGTTTACTTCAAGACATTTTCACTGGGGACCCCTTCTTGCACCAGCCAAGCTTTTTCACTGCAATGGATATTTTTGTTATATTCTCCATGGAAATGATGTACCCTGCATCTTTTGCATATTGCAGAAGATCACCAATTACTCCCTGGCCAAAGGAATGCAACCTCTTGCAATTTTCTTTGTGGACTCCGTTGCCCACCTATCCCTTAGTTTTTACTGGCCTTCTCCAGACTTTTAGACTTTTTCCTATTTTTTTTTTTAGATTTTATTTATTTATTTGACAGAGAGAGACACAGCGAGAGGGGGAACACAAGCAGGGGGAGTAGGAGAGGGAGAAGCAGGCTCCCTGCTGAGCACGGAGCCCGATGCAGGGCTCGATCCCAGGACCCTGAAATCATGACCTGAGCCGAAGGCAGATGCTTAACGACCGAGCCACCCAGGCGCCCCCCCCATCTTTTTTAAAATAAAATACGAAGGTGACAGAGGGATACAATGCCCAAGGAGGCTCAATTCAATGTTTCAGTCTTCAATATGCCAGAAATTAGATAAAGATTTTAGAGATGACTGCAGTGGTTCAGTTTTGCAATGGAAAAGCCTTACAATGGCAAGAACCCCTTAAACTAAATTTCTGAAACATCCAATTGTGCTTTAAAATGTCTAGGGATGGAAATAAGCAACTCAGTGGTTTAGTACACAGGTTACAGGATCAAATACAGTTTATCTATTGACCAGCTGTGTGACCTTGAAAAAGTAAACTAATCTCTCCAACACTCAGTTTCCCATCTGTAATGCGAGAATAATAACAGTTCTTACCTCAGAGGGATTTTAAGAGAATTGAGTAGGCTACTGCATATAATATGTTCAGCATAACACCTGTCACAAAATAAGTGTTCAAAAATAATTTTATTTTTAGGATTTTTTTCATAAGGCATGCTTGTTCATTATGGGACAGTTTTAATTGTTATAAAACCTATTTCTTAGTAGTTCACCTGTTTCTTGAGTATCTCGTAATTTCCAAAGAGTTTTTTTTCTCTTTAAGTAGTGAAAGAGCTATATTGACCCCAGTTTCTTTTCTTCTCCAGATTAACATCATCAAATTCCATTTTCATATAATAAGATTTTCGTGTCTTTTACTGGGTTGCTTGCCCTTGAAGTCCTCTAATTTTTTAGTGTGGAGATGTCAGCCAAGCATGGACTTCTGGCAGTGACTCTCATTTCATATCAACTTTTTCTTACACATATGCATACATGCTTGTGTGCACACATGCGCACACACACACAACTCTAGGTGGTGCATCATGAGTCATTTAAGAGGAACGCTTAGGATATGCCACATCCTAATACAAAATCTAAGAAGTATAAAAAGAGTGGCTACAATCTCTGAACCCTCAACATCAACTCCTAAATGGGCTAGAAACACCATGCTTCCTGGGTAATCTCTTGATTTAGCAGAATCTCAACAGCCAGGATCATTTTTTAATAGGAAGGTCAGTTCCTGCCTGCTCTTAGCAGAAGAAATCAGAGAACTTCATTAAACCAGGAACTTAAAAGATCTTCCTTCACAGACAGTTAACCCACCACTCAGAGGCACCCTAAGCCAGGACTTTGCTGGGAATCATGGGACTTTGGAAGTCCTGAATTCTGGAGCATCTTCAAGGCCACTTTTGTAAGGAGTGTATAGAGCCAGGAGAGAAGAATACAGAGCCCCAGCATTCTAAAGTAGAGCCATCCCTATACTCTGTGAGACACATCACATGTCCCTATGCTTTTCAATACAATGACTTGTCAAAGGCAAGAAGTAATAACTCTTGTGATTATATCTTTATACACGATGCTTTTCCTTGGAGACCTAGTGTGTTTTCTTGGCCTTTTAAAGCCATATATTTTTTTTTTCCTTATTTTTCTACAAAGCTTATGCTTTCTCTGTAAGACATCTTTCTGTTGATCTTCATTCTATTTCTGATAGTATTCTCAGTGTCCTTTGAATTTCATTTCTGCCTTCCAAGTAGATAGCAACTCTGTCCAACTTCATGCTTCGTTATGATTCACTTGATTGCTATTGTCCAGCTCATGAATAAAAGTATTAAGTAACACCTCTTTAAATTTCTGAACCCTATGGAATAACACACAATATTTTTCTACATATAGATGCTGAAAACTCAACAATCAACCTTTAGAAACTATAACTTTAAGGAAAATACTATAATATTATCTACACCTCTGCTTCCAAAGGTGTGTTCTATGACCTTTTAAAGAACTCAATGGCAAATAAGTTTGGAAAATGCTGTAAACTATAAAGACTCTAAGACATTTGGGGCGCCTGGGTGGCTCAGTTGTTAAGCGTCTGCCTTCGGCTCAGGTCATGATCCCAGGACCCTGGGATCGAGCCCCTTATCGGGCTCCCTGCTCCGCGGGAAGCCTGCTTCTCCCTCTCCCACTCCCCCTGCTTGTGTTCTGTCTCTCACTGTGTCTCTCTCTCTTGTCAAATAAATAAATAAAATTTTTAAAAAAGACTCTAAAACATTCATATTACCTTATTAAAAACATTTGAGAATCCTATAGTAAAGTACTATTTTACCCTGTGTTTCCCAAACATAACTGATCATGGAACACTTAATAACTTTCTATAAAACACTGTTTTGGGGACTTTTGCTCTAAACAATTTCTACAGCATAGTGATAGAAATGTCATGAAGACAGACAGAAAGCCCATTCAGTTCTGCTGTGTTCAATCTTTCACTTTCTTCTTACCTACACAGTCTAATATTCTTCAAAGAGAGAAAATTAAATTGGTCTGACATTGACATTATTTGTTTGTTCAGAAATCCAACTTGAATTGTTACACAATATCTGGGGCTCCTCTGAGTAATGGAAAGTAATTTGATGATCATTCTATTATTTTCTCTAGTATTAAATTCGCATTGACCAATTTATATTTTCCCAGGTGTGCACATGTGTGTGTCATTATCCAGACAATTTCCTAAGTGCTTTACATGCATTAGTTCATTCTTAACTCACAACACTCATAACGTAAATGCTATTAGTTTCATTTTACAGACGTGGAATCTGCTGACTGCTGAGCGCAAGTACCTTGTTTAAGGTTTCCACGACTAGTCAGGGTGAGAAGGAGGATTTGAACCCACGTATGTCTTGACTCCAAGGACTGCACATTGCACTATATTGCTTCTCAGGTTAAAGTTCAGTGACTTCCTCTGTTCTCCACTGGGGTATGAACCGTTTGACACCTGCTTAAACAAGCCAGTTTTATCTAAACTTGATCTCTCCTATTTCTCTTCCTAGATTTCTGCTTGTTATTTCTTTGCCTTCACAGTCTCCCCGTCTGCCCTTGCTTTAAAT